GAACCCACATGTTGGTGATTTAAAACTGAACACACGTGCAAACAAAAGCGAGTTCTTGGGGTTTGGGGGACAAATGTTTCCTTTACTCTCATCAAGGCAAAACTTTGCAAGTTTCTCTTAGATTATTACATTACTGCCTCAAGAAGCATGGGATTTGGCTCCAGTTAAGCGACCACTTAACATTTGCTTAATCTACGGTTGGGCCCAGGAACATCTCTGGGCATGTGAAGCACTGCAGGAGTACCACGAGGCCTCACCCCAAGGCGCCTGGCAGCCACCTGAGGAGACAAAACTCACACGCCTGCAAAACCAGATCCGTAATCAGAAAGTTTCAAGAGGATCCTGCCTACAGACTACTCTGAGCTACTTTTGCAAAGGTAAAATTAGAAAAATTCTAATTCTCAGGCTTGACTATGTTACAATAAAAAGAAATGTTTTAAAATAATATTTTAGGGTACCCTTCCATTTTTGAAGCAGGATAGGTTTTGCTTATTAGATAATTGCAAAAAAATATTATTTTATCTGAAAATTTAAATATAAAGCAAGGAAAGCCATGCTAAGATGTACGAGTATAGCTGACTAAAACGGAAACAGCTTTTTCAGAAACTTGTGGTGGGGTCAAGTAAACCTCAGGAAAACTCCCCGTTTTCCAGCTTAATTGGGAGCATCCTATCCTTTCGCCATTTCTATCACTAGTGATTACACCAATGAGAGAAGATTAGCTCACCTAGAAAAAGAGGGCCTCTTTTCAAAAACTCAAAACTCAAGAGAACAAGCCAACTTGTGGCCTGTCCCCCCTGCGTAAGAACCCAGCTTCCCCGCCCCAGAGGTGAGAAGCCAGGGTGCATTTGGACTCACAGATACATCAGCCTGAGTCCATGACAGAGCATCCTCAAATAGCAGCAATCACCATGCACACTGTCATTACATTGATAATCACTTGCTAATGGGAGCAGCGGCACCAAGATGTGCACTTAGTGGCTCTGTTTACAAGCCGTCCCCGTAGCCCCAGTGCATGCTCTCCTCTGGGTTCGGTTCCAAAGGCCTCCAAGTACACAAGGAAACCTGCTGGGTATTGTGAAATAAACCATCAAAAGAGAACTTGCTGAAAATTCCGCAGGAGTCTCTGTCCTGGTGTCGAGGAAGGGAGAGTGGGCTGGCAGAATACTAAACTTGCTGCTCCGGGATGATCAAAGCCTCAAAGAAATGGATGCAACATTCAAAGAGACTCAGAGAGAAAAAGGCGGAGGATGTCTCCTAATCATCTAACAACTTATTTTTGGCACAGTTTTTACCCAATCACCTTCCATGAAAGTAGGACACTTACATGGAAAAAAAATGCATAAAGTGTACTGGCACCAACACTGCACTTTTTTATACCTTTACATTATCCTCAGTGTGTATGTGTGTGTGTACATACAAGTGTGCATGGTGTATAAACACGTATACACACATACATACACATAAGCATCTCTGCGACATTCTACATTTGGAATAAAAATAAGCAAAACTGGCTTTGTAAATAATGAAGTACAGATTTAATCCAAGTATATTAGGTTTTACATATTTAGAAGAAAAAAATAACATTTGCTAAAACGATGGGGATAATTTTGGTGGTAGTATTCTGGTAAAAACAACCTTTAAAATAAATCTCAGTTATTCTGAAAGTTAAGATACCCAATTCTCTTAAGTTTGAGCAAATTAAACTTCGCTAGATTATTTAATGGGATTGATGTCTTGGTATGTATCAAAAGTATAGAAGTCTGTCAAAAAGATTTGATTTTCCAATAGGTAAAGCAAATAATAGTATCTCTCACACACATAGACTAAGAAAACTCTAAAATCCTAACTCTCTCTATTAAATAGTCCTAATTTTGAGAAAGAAAAGGTAGAATTGTTTAAAGATGTTTGCCTTAGAATCTAACCATTCAAACTACCTATTGCTTCAAAACCACTTTGAAGAAAGCCCACTGACTCTACAGGAGCACCTCACAGGCCCTCTGTCCCCCAGAGCCACTCCACAAATTATGTGCATGCAGGGGTATGTCACAGAACGTGGCTGATGTGCATCACAAGGGTTGACACGGACAAATGCTTTCCAAGGGCAAACAACACGACGGACCTCCCAGTTCCTGCAAGAAGCATCTGGAAAGGAAACTAACACTTTTGCTATTTCATTGGGGACATGTACATTCTCCTTTTGGACTCCCAGGGAGGAAGGAACTGTACAAACAGAGGCCACCAATGCCTCCCGCAGAACGCCACCCCTGTCCTTCCTCTTCCTCTCCACCAGAATGCCTCTGCCCCTGTCCTTCCCTACGTGACAACACTTGGTTCTTCTGTGTAAAGGGCAACAGCTATTCTGATATTCATAAAACCTTTTACATTGCCACCTACTATTCTATCTCTCCTAGGTTTACTTAATTCTAACCTAACTTACACAATAATCATCTTTTTCACAAACTTTAAACAAATGAATTGAGTGTTTCCACCATGAAATAAAGCTTAATATCAAATTGTTTAATTTTCCTTGCAACCCAGTGATGAGAATTATGATGTCTGTCCACAACCTCTCTTTTATTATAGAATTAGCAAAGAACAGAAATTCAATAATTTAAAAATAAATACATTAATGCAACAAGACACTGTTCTTGAACCTTATTGTTTTATGTTTGCACTATTTAAAAAACTTTCAGACAGATTTTTAAACTCGAAAGGGGCCTCAATGGCAGCTATAGAAAATCCAAATGAGATATGAATATATTAATGAATTAATACCTGCTTCATTTACCAATGTAAGTATTTTGTTTGTAACTAAAGCAGTATGAATGTTTAATACATTACTCAGCTAAATTTAAAACCAGAACTCATGTAATTCCCACCCTCATTTGCTGAGTCCTGCTCTGCTAAAGAACAAATCAAAACAACACCACAGCTTAGCACTTTCAGTAAACAACCCACTCTGAGGAGGCAAAGCCCCACATTTAATCAAGTGGTTCCTAAAGGTATTTTTTAGTTATTTCAAAACTAAGCCCAACAGAAAATCTTTACAATTATTTCATTTCCAAATTTTCTTAGATCACATTTTTAAAGGAAAAGTTATTTTCCCTTTTTATTAATCTGGATTGAAGAAAAGCACACATTTCATTTATTGTCTGGATTACAGATTCTTATTAAACAAACCAGAGCTCATTATAAAATCAATATCAACTTAACCACCATGCCCCCAGGAGGAACAGCAAAAAGGTCACTCCAAGAAATTCAAACAATTTTCCTGCTGGAAGGGCATGATTTTAATTACAGATACTATTAATTAGAGCTGTCGCTGGGAAGATTTTTTTTTTTTGGTTAACTATCACAAACTCAATCCTAAGTATGCATTTTCAACCTGCATTTTTGTAAAACTTAGTCATTTCTGCATGCAAGTCCAACCTTTCCATTCTATCAATATTTTATATTTGAATTTCAAAGTATATCAAAGGATACCATGCTTTCTAAAAATCTACACCGTATGATCTTCTGTCTCTCACACATGCAACAGAACTGGTGTGATAATTTATTTATGTACAGACTTCGCCCTCAAGACCTGGTATCCTATACTGATGGTCTTGCTCAAAAGAATTTCTGGGTAAATTCTTACTAGTTTATGTGACATTTTTTTCAGGCTGCTTCTTCAAAAGGGATTTTTCTTTTGCTTTGAAGCAAAGCTATGCACTGTGGCTGAAATGCCATCTTCAACACATCTGAAGTTGCCATTTCTTTATAAGAAAAAGATCGTACTGACCGGGCTTGTGACCTCCTCCAGAAAACTGGAGGTTTCCTCCACTCAGTGACAATACTGAGAATTTTCAAATGGGATGAGAAGCTACGTTTTCAGCACAGAAGTTTTATAAATTCATCCCACCTCATTACGTGGGACAGGGTCAGGGCAGCCCTCAGAGCAAAGAAAAGCCAGCTCAGGTGAGTTCATGAAGGGCACGTGCTGGACAACAGGAGGGTATTTTCTGGAAAGAGCTGAAAGCCCACCTATGTGAATCTGATGATAGAATAATAACATTTACTTTACATATGATTGCAAAATAGGATGGATTATTTGTTTATATGCAAGACATATTCACCATAATCACGTGACCAGAGAAAACAAAGATTCTAGACCAATGGGAGAAAGTCTTACAAGTATACATTGATTAAACTTTTAAAATAGTGATTAAGTTATTTTACCTTCCCACATAGAAATATACACTTGGAATTAAATGATATTTTATGTTAAAAGAAATCAAATGCCCTCACATATACATCCTGAGTTTGCATTGCTGTTAAAACTGAAGGCATATTTTCATTTCAGGACATAATTAAATATGCAGTACATACTGCAGAATTTCCAAAAATCTTGTGAACGTTTTTGTGCCCCAACTGGCCTGAACCTGACTTCTTCACATTGTCATTGGTTTCTAGTTTGTTTCCAGGTGTGTCTGTAACTTCTCTGTATTGCCAGCACACAGTGGCCACCATCCTTCTCTCGGAAAATATTTGGTTTACCCCCCATTTGTCAGCATTAGATTTCACTTTATCCAAATAATAGCAGAGGGTGGCGACAGATCAGGTCAAAGGATCTGTTCATGTAAGACTCCGAGGAAGCTGATGATTTAAGGGACATCTTCAAACATCCACACAATTTACCTTGCAACTCTGACATTTTTCATGAATAGTGGCCAAAATAAGAAAGATAACAGATAATACATAATGCATGCATTGTACTTTTTCCATACTTCTAATTAGCAACCTGCTTTCACAGCTAACATGAGACTACCCAGGAATAGCATAGGATGAATATAGGGCCGTAAAACTGTGCTTGCAAGGTATTTCCATGAATGCTAAAGAGAAGTTTCAAGTCGCCATCATAAAAGAACCCAAACTATGAATAAATGAACAACTGAATCAAACAGTCTCTGTCCAACTGATAAAACAGATACAGCACTTTTTAAAAAGTCTCTTCTTACCTGGTAGGCCGCGGTGGCATCTGCCCCGGGGTTAGCTCCGAGGCCCGACAGCTTCTCCTTGAGCTTGTAGTGTGAGCTGTGGCGGAGGC